GTTTGGTGACCAAAGGCAGTGTTTAAATCCTTGTCCCCATTTCTGCCCTCTGCTTCCTGATATAAAGAACTGTTGATGAATATGTGTGCACCCTGAGGATTTAAAATAGAGCTGACCGGTTCTTTTTCATATATAAAAGTTTAGATTCGTGATTCTTCTAAGATTATCTTTTGAGATAAGTAGTAAAATGGTTGGCCCTTTCTTTGTAACTACAGTAAGCAGTCTGCTAGTAGAAGAACTGACTTGAAAAATACTTTTGCTTACACTCTCTTAATCTATAACAAGTTGCTTGGATAATATATGTGGGTTCTTGGAAAAACTTGTTTTTCACCTGTAATAAGGAAAGTGTTTAACCATGTAGGGGAAATGAAAACATTTTTTAAAAGCCTGTATTCATTGTAATCATCTACCTGAAAAATAGAATGTAGCCACATTGTGATTTTCATATTGCTTGAAAGATTTTGGTAGAGTATATAAGCTGTAAGATTAAAAAACAAAGTAAGTTAGAAGAAAAACATCAAGAATGAGAGAAGGAAAACACTAGGAAAGATGTAGAGGAAGAATACAAAAGAATAAAGAAAGAGTCAGAAGAAAACTATCAAGAGAGTGTGTTGTCTTTTCCTTACTCCCTCAGATAAAAAAGCCTTAGTATGAGGACTCCATGGATTCCCTTCAAGCTCTGAGCTGCTGGAGGCTGGTCCTCATGGCAGCAGTATGTGCCTTCCCACCTCAAAATCTGGATCAAAGGCAGGTTGTCTTCCTGCCTCAAGATCCAGATCACAGGTGTGACCTCTGTTTCTGGATTGTATTCCAGATATAGTAAAGTTGACAACCAAGAACAGCCATCACATGTGGGTTTCTGAGGACCCAAACTCAAATCTTCATTTTTTTATGCAGCAAACATTTGAAGCAGTGGTTCTCAACCTTCCCAATGCTGAGGCCCTTTAATACAGTTCCTATGTTGTGGTGATCCCCACCCACTAGATTAGTTTCACTGCTACTTCATAACTATAATTTTGCTACTGTTGTGAATCATACTATAAATATCTGTGTTCTTTGATGGTCTTGGGGACCCCAGGTTGAGAAACCCTGCTTTAACCACGGAGGCATTTTTGCATCCCCTCAACTGTTCTTCCAACAGTGAACCATGCATGTCAGTGGCAGCTATGTAAACTTTCTCAGATGGAAGATCAACTTGGCATCTTCTATCTCAGAGTTAAGGAAATGATGGAAGAGAAGGCAACCTTACATTGAGAGAGTCACGGATGTAAGGAAAAGGTGCAGCTCATCCTTTGACCTCCACATGTGTGTTGTGACTTTGTGTAAAGACTTAAGAGTTTGGTTCAGGATGTGTGGAAATATGCAGTCCTGAAGTGAAGACACACATTTCTAATAAACTTTCTCTTTTAGATTATCTACGTCATCAGGAATCCAAGAGATGTTGCTACATCTCACTATCATATCAGAAAACATTTTCACGTTTTGAATAATCAACAGACTTTTGATGAGCATCTTCGTTTATTTATCCAAGGTGACGGTGAGTGGAATCTGGACCACCAATTTTATATTTTGAAATCAAGGCAATACCAGAGATCTGTGTTGCATGTTTAAAAGCTATATCTGTGGGTCACAGTTGTTTAAAATTTACTCAGTGTGGGACAAGAAGGATGGTTTAGTTGTCTACTACTCTTGCAAATGTCTAAGTTTTGTTCCCAGCAATCATGCCAGGTTTCCCTCAAGGTCTGTTAACTCCATATCCAGGGGTCTAG